AAAAAAAAAAAAAAAAGGCTTCGAAAAAAAGAAAAAAAGCATGGCAAGTGGGAGTACAAATTGATAGGCACTTCCTGTAAAATGATTTACTGGTATCTATTAACATTTTAAATATATGTTCATTCTGACCTAGAAATTCTACTTTTTGGTGTCTACATACTTGTACATGTGTACAAAGAGACATGTTCAAGGGCAATCATTTCAGCATTCTTTGTAAAAAACAGCAAAAGAAAAAACAGAAATAACATAAATGTCCATTCATAAAGGAATGGTTAAATAAACTATAATATGCACATTTTATGTACCCATCCTATGCAGCATTAAAAAGAAGTCAGATCTATATGAACTACATGGAAAAACTTACAGAACATGATGCTGACTTAAAAAAAGCAAATTGCAGAACAACAACAAAACAACAGGCATGAGTTGTTCATGAGAAGAGTATTTTTTTTTTTCTGGATAATTTGGTGGGAGATGAATAGGAGGCAGACAGAGATTAGAAACAAAAATCTTAGTTAAGTGGATTGCTGGTAGTCCAGGGCAGAATAAACCGGGTTTGACCTTCAGCAGTATGACACTGGGGAAGAAAAAGCAATATGGATTCGAAAGACACTTTTGAAGGTGGAACAAACAGGGTTTGATAGCTTATTAGATACAGGAAGTATGGAGTGGGAATAGCATAGATAATTCCAAATGTTCAAGTTCAAGTTTGAGAGACTGGGGAAGTGGTGTCACCATTAACCACGGTAGACTAGAAAAGGAAGAGAAGCTGAAGAAGGCAGAGGAGATTCTGAGAAAAAGATAATAATATTGGTTTGAATTATGTTCCTATTGGATATCTACATGCAATTTGCTAGTAGGAGCATGAAAGCTTAGAAGCGGGACAGATGCTCAACAAATGTTTGCTGAAAACATTTATACCCTTAGCAATTAGGATGTGGTATACGGTAATTAACATTAGGCAAGTATTGGGTTCCCTAGAGGGCTATCCAGGGAAACAGTTTGTCTGCAACCTTCTCCTAGTTCTCGGCGGCCATTCCCCAGAGCCCACTGTTACTGTCAACAACCTCAATCCTGCAGAGCAGTGCTAGTGCTGGACAAAAGCTGGGAAAGACCAGAGGAGTCTATTATCATCAAAGGTATGTCGTGATTTCCATCATTATTAAGACTCTTCTAGTGCTAAAGCTGCGATAAACCAAATGGTTGAACAGTGTGTATCAGTGGGATGATGGAAGAACAATCATTCTGATCAGCTTTTCCTCTGGTGATACTAGTTCCTAATTCACCCAGAAAATAGAGGCTACCACTATCAAAAGAGGACTGTAGATATTATCAGCTCTTCACAGCACGGAACAAAAAAGTCATAACCAGTATTAGAGAAAGAGCAAAGAATCAGCAAATCCAAACTAAAGTAATTTTTTAAAAGCCTATTAAGATATGAGGCATTCCTTGCTAACATTCACAAAATTATATTCAACAAGAATATATCTCCTTGGTAATTGCTATAGGAAGATAATGGGAGTCCTTGAATTCAAAGTCCTTGAATATTTCTCTTTAAGAGGAGATATGTTTCTATATTCTCTTACTCCAAAGACAGAATGATACTGTACTTCGATGGGTCCTAGCAAGCTTTTTGAGTAGGCAACTAGTTGGTTACATCTCCTGGCCTCATTCCAAAGTCCTTGTAGGTTACTGCAAACAACCCAGGCTCAGTCCCCAGTGAAGAAGCACCTCACAACACTGACAGCTCACTGCATTATTGGGCTCTGTGGGGTAATGTATGCTCTCTCCTTGGAAAAAAGGATGAGGCAGTTCCTCGGTGCCTTGCAAACACCACAAACCCCAGGCTGGGTCCTGATGCAATACTCCAGCCCTTGGGAAGCACAGAATCTAAATGCTGCAGGGAACTTTAGACACCAAGCCCACATTTTAACCTTACAAAGAGAGGCCCCAAAGTGAAACAGCACGCCTAAGCTCATACAGAGGGGCTTGTGTCAGAGTGCAGAGTAGGAACCCGGGCCTCCTGACTCAGCAATCAGTACTCTCTCAATTCTTCAGTCTCAGTGGTCACAGGCAGAGGGCCCCTTAACACATTACAATCCAGTGCCATCCCAAGAGTTTTCTTTTGACAATTTATGTTCTTGGCAGAATCTACCTTGGATATATGGTACTGTTCGTAACAAACTAAAATTGTATAGCTAGGTCATCACTACCGATAGACTTCTAGATAGAGACAGCACAAGAACTTAACATAACTATAATTATTCTTTCTCACTACTTCTTTTTGCTCACAGTAATACATTTTTGTCTCTATACACCTGCACATATACTTATGACTACAATATTTAGGCTTGTGTTTATTTCAACTTAATCTACATTTTGTGTCTCTGGAAACACAAGAACTATGAACAGTTATCTACGGAGGCCACTAGCTTACTGTGCAACCCCAGGCAAACTATCTCACCAATCTGTGCCTCCATTTCTTTATCTAGAAGAAAGAACACAGAATAATAGGGACAAAATAAACTGTGTATGTGTATACGTGTGCCTCTGGGTGTGTGGGGGTATTTATCTCCAGCCCTTGCTTAACAGAACGTAGTTTTGGTAAAATTTCCACAAGTAAAGCATTCCTTACTTCACACTTTGTTATAAAAGTGGAAATGTATTCTTCTAGAGGAAAAAAACAGAAAAAACAAAATACTTTGCCCAATGAATGTATATAAAATGATAGTAAAGAATACCGTGAAGCGTTGTTTTTTTTTTTTTTTTGGTGAGGAAGATTGGCTCTGAGTTAACATCTGTTGCCAATCCTCCTCTTTTTGCTGAGGAAGATTAGCCCTGAGCTAACATCTGTGCCCATCTTTCTCTATTTTACATGTGGGATGCCACCACACATAGCTTGATGAGTGTTTTGTATGTCCTCGCCCAGGATTCAAACCTG